TGCATCATCAATTCAGCCTGTTAGAGTCACTTGCTGAACATAGGCCTCCCCCATAGACTGCCACGAAGCCGATCCTGAGTCACTGGCATCAATCGACTCCCCGCACATTTGCATAGGTCAAAACTTTATTTAATGGTGGTCGTCTGTATTGCATACAAACAGAAATTAGTACAAGACTTATGTCATGGGGTTTAGATTCATTTGGTTTGTATCCACCACCACTGCACCTGTACAGTGACTGTTCGACTAAATATCCTTGAAGAAACATGAAGAGTATTGGTTAAATATGTGTTCACTTCGTTAGGGTAAAAGATGTAGGTGGTAATGCTTTTTAAACTTACGAACCTAATGTAAGCAACCGTGTTCTCTTAATTTGTTAATATTTTTTATTTTATCTCTGTTCTTGTAATTTCAAATATCCACAGCAAAGCAATGTGACTCTAATGGAAGTAAATTTGATATATTTACAGACGGAAGTTTAAAAAAGTAATGTAAACATTCGCAGCTATTGCTCGTCTCTTCTCTCAACTATGCGATACAACGATGAAAATTTTTGGCATGTTATATCTAAGGACAGCAATACGTTTTAAGTTGTTCAAAAGTCAAAGAGAAAATGAACTTTTTAAGCTGTTCAAAAGTCGAAGAGAAATGTAACATGCTGGAAATTTTGACAGCGAAGTGCCGCGTTCCAGGTGCAAAACCGATGCATGAAACTATTCGCCTCCAATTAATTAACGAATGAAACATTAATTCAATATAAATCCTTCTAATTTACGCCAGTCTCATGTCAGGTCGTAATTCCTTCCTTTCGTAATTCTTTCCTTAGGTTTTCATTTAGTTTGTAGAAAAATATGATTGATAGATTTTCGCTGGTGCGAGTATTTGAACCTGCGTACGCGTCCGACGCTCTAGCCACTGACCCATAAGGCTTACCTTCTCAGCGACGAATATCGCTAGGATGTTTTCCTTCACCACTAAGCACGTGATAAACCAGCACTTAAAGGTAAATAATTCATTGGTGTCGGCATCGGAATTTGATCCCCCTCTATTTGATTCTCTCAGTTTGCTCGAGTATATTATTAAATTAAAAGCGAGGGAACGGACACTGAGCTACGACGGCGCCATTTGTGTTGAAGCGTACTTATTCTTTGAAAAGATTTGTCAGTCGTTTTTGGGGTTCCGTACCAAGGAAAACTGAGAACTCGCACTAAAAACAGAATAAAAAAATATTTAAGTGGGGCACCCATACAACAGACATGATTTTTGTGCCGTTTTCATAGATAATGGCGTGGAACCCTTCGTGCGCGGGTATTACTCGCACTTGGCCGGTTTTTTGTTTGTGAGTGAACACTTGAGTGAGTTCTTGCTCTTCAAACGACTAGCAGATTGTCAATGTTGGTTTTCGCCCGCTCAATTGCAATTATTGTTTCGCAACTCCACGTAGTGGAAGCGGCTCTAGGTGCGCTCTCGATCGCCCCAGGTCAGCTCTTAGAAAAACTCACGAGGCCGACACGCTTATGGGTAAGTGTGCATCAGATCGGTCGCCGCACGCGGCACTTTCTTCGCACCTATGCGTGAATATTGTTTCGTTCAATTGATCACGCAGGGCAACTCTTTTAAAAGCATTATTAGAGATAGCATCAACTCCGTTTTGAAGACATGGTGGCAAGGGGGCCGTTTTCCGCCCCAAAACTCAACCTTAACCAACTACATGCGCCTAGTATTCTTGGCACCTTTGTACTAAGTTTATTTGATAAATTTGACATTTAGTTAATGTCGTTATCGATCTTGAATAATGTTATATCCAAATTTTGTAGTTTGCTAACAATCCCAGTCGTACTGTTTTATTACAGGATAACAATAATAGCTTAATGATGAAGAGTAGGTAAGAGTTGTCATCTGCCTCACCATATCTCGTCATCTGTCTACTGGTTTTCCGTCTGAAAATTTTGTCCAGGAGGGCTCCGCCATTGGATTTAATTTTGTCGATAGCTCGCATCGGTTCTGGAGCGCCGGGTCAGGTGTTTTCCACTTTACCTTGTGCCAAACTTTCTGTTGATGAAAAGGTTCATTGCTTGAAAAGAATAATTCAAATAAGCAAATGGCTGTTTCGTCCTGTTTCTTAAATCGATTCTTTTTATTTTAATTATTTTTAAGACCTCAACGCGTTTAGAAACGAATAGGGAAAGGGCGTGAATAAAAAATATACGTTGTATTAAATGTTGGTAGTTTCGAACGTTTTGCGTAGTCGAGGTTCGGGAAGAGACAGCTATGTGCAGTAAGTGTGGTAGGGCCACGCAACAGCCTCGGCTGTTGCACGAATGGGCAGTCAGTGTAAGTACCACGACCTCACAGAAGACCTGCGTAAATTGGAAGTATAACAAATACTTTAGTCTGGTGAGTGAGGAAGCCGGTGTAAAATCTTCAAAAGGTTGCCAACGCATCTGTAACCCTCGGGTGTAGCATATGCCCATAGGCGGCGGTATTCACTTAACATCAGATGAATCGCCTGCTCGCTTGGAAACTTCTCATATAAAAAAATATAACACTAAATGATTCGGAGACGCAATTGCTAAGCTTTTGGTTTCGGTGCCGAGTCTGTGGGTTCGGTTCCCATACAAATACTTGATTTGTGTGACCCACGGATAATTGTTCCGGATCTGAGTGTGTGTTTCCAAGGAGGGTTGACGTCAGGTGGGCAGTCGTAAACGTAGATAGTCCCATTAAAAGCATGATTTACACGTCGTGTCGTGCCCACCTAGATGATATAAGTGAAGGAGAATGAAGAATTTTGCTTGATTTATTATTTGTATGACCAGGCATGAAGTACTCATTTATTATTATCGCTTACAGCGTTTTCTAACGTATTGCGTTTTAGTTCTAATGGTTGATAGAAATTGATCCTTTACTAAATCGAGTCAGCGTTTTTGATATAGCAGTTAAAAGCTAACATAGTAAACATTTCGATAACAGTACACGGTCTTCGTTGCAAAAGGGAATACAAAGTGAAGGGCAATCGAAACGGACTCTTTCATTTTAAATGCCAACGAACTAGCTATCAATGAATATTGAACCCGCACTCATACGAAAACACATAATCTATTCAAGTGGCTAGTCGTAGGGGTCGTGACACGAGCGACAAAGACGCCTATACAGTTAAAAAGTGACGATAACAGGGGGACGGCACCACCGTCGATGTCTGGGTCATATGTCGACCGATATGTCATAACCTGCCCGAGTGGGACGGCGATACACTTCGCCATACAAGAGCGAGGGAGACGGGGCCGACAATGACGCGTAGGGTCAAAAGTCAAACAGTGTCGCGGCCTGTGGGAGTGTGACGAAAATATACTTTAATCTCGCGCCAGCGGGGGAACGATGTATGGGGGTCAAAAGACGAGCGTCGGCAACCCTGACCCTAAGACTTCCAGGGCCGCACTCGGCACCGGAGTGAAATACGACGTAAATAAAATGTTTGAAATACTCACTCGGTATAAGCTGGATTGTAGGCAAACTTCAACAGCGCACCTTAACTATAAGTATAGTCATTAAAATAACTCAATGCTTTGTTCGAGCTATTCGGAACGTAAATCGCCTCTGTGTATCGACAGCATTGTTATGTATTCGTTTCGTGAATATTTAAAGCGCGAATAGTTGTTTTAATTTATGGAGTTTAAATATCGAGCACCATCAATTTAATAATCTGTTGACTTTTCAGTCAAGTACGTCATTGTAAAGTTGTAATGTTAATGTGTATATTTATTTGTCATAACGAAAAATTTTAAAACTCAACATGGAATACCGTGCTGTTTTTAAACTTTTTAACTTTATAAAACCGTTTTAGGAGATATGCATGGAGGTTTATGAGAAACTAACGTGAAAAATGCTATCTTCAAAGTTACGTTCTTAGAGCTTAACAGAAATTTTCAAAATTCTTCAGTTACATAATATAGCAATTTTACGATTTTTAAATTTCCCTAAACATAGCTTTGCGGGAAAATTAAAAAAAACCTCCAAGTGGTACCTGTCTGTGACAGTAACAGGCTGATATGATGATGATGATGAGTATAAGTGGTAACTAATTTCAAGGTTAATAATAAAGGGCGATTTAAAAGCCTGCTAGTTTCTAAATTCTTATATCGATGAATACTCTACCATAATGAATACTTGAATACTCCGCCATAATGAACCACCCGTATCTAAATACTCTAAATAATATCTAAAGAGATATAGTAATAAAGGGAGTCGAGGTCTAAACCTCGACTCCCTTTATTACTATATTTTTTTAAGTTAAGCGTCGACACGCTAAGTATAAATTTATATGTGTCTCTGGATATAATATTCGTCAATAAAAACAGACATAACATTTTTAAATATATTTTCGATTCCATCCCTGTGAATCTCGCGCGCTAACGAATCGGGACCGGGCGGCATAATTAAACAGTTCGCGACAATCGGCCTCTGCCGATGTTACACAATGTGCGCTTGTGACATAGTGCGATGAGATTTTCAGTGTTAAACCATAACCGTGAACCTATTACGCTATTTGTGGCTACGGACAGGAATCCAAGCCGTTGCAATCCAATTAGCGCTAACCCGGAGTGATTTAATTCGCATTACAATCAAGTGAGCTTCAATCATATGTGCTATTTGTGACTACGGACGAGATTATCGGCACTAGAATATAATGAGCGACAACCCTAAGTGCTATTTGTAACTGTTTTCGGCATAACAGTTCAATGAGTGTCAACCCTAAGTACTATTTGTGACTACAGGTGTGATTTTCGCCATTACAATCCAATAAGTGACAACCCTGCTTTCCGTGACTACAGTGTGACGAAATGGTTACTATCCCATAATCCTTAGTGTATGTTTTGCATCCTAACTGTGCTTTTCAATTTTAATCCGATACACGACGCTTTGCACCGGATTCAAGGACTATTTTCGCTCGCATGAAAAACTGCGTGAAAATAAGGGGACTTTTCATAACTTCCGAAAGGATGTTCGCATCCGAGTTTCACTTCTCTAGCAAACTTCTGGAACTGTTGACGAAAGGTTTGTATTTAATAGTAAACAATAATGAAAGCATATTACACAGTCATTCCATATTTCTATTTCATTACGAAACAGTATCTAAATCATAAATGACAACTTGCACTTTTACAGCAAGCTGCAAGTTTAATAAACAAAATAGAAACACTAAAACAATTTAAGATATTCGAAACTTGTGACACTTTTCACCCATTTACATAGCAATAAATAAAAAATTAATAATAGGCACGCATTACCATAAAAGTTGCTTAAAATGTGAATGTTGTTTGTAATCAGTAAATAATTGATAAATGAATTTATGAATAAATTATTTATTAGAAGGAAAATGCAAAATTCAAGCAAGCACAGGTAGGCTCGTTCTTCCTGTCCACTATGGTTCGTCTGCAAATAAATCTCAACAATTTTTATTATTACTGTGATTTTTAGGGTTCCGTACCTAAAGGGTAAAGCGGGACCCTTTTACTGAGACTCCGCTGTCTGTCTGTCTGAACCGTGATAGTTAGACAATTGAAATTTTCACAGATGATGTATTTCCGTTGTCGCTATAATAACAAATATTAACAAATATTTAAATGGGGCTCCCATACAACAGACATGATTTTTTGCCGTTTATATAGAATCCCTAGCCCGACTCGCACTTGGCCGGTTTTTTAATCTTAGGATGCATCGAATGGATGCCCGTGTAACGATATTTCGAATCGAAATTATTTCGAACTACGCATTGATTATTTAAGCAATTTAGAATTTAGTATCAGATTATAAAAATTTCGTGCATGGGTTAAAAGGTTAACAAAATATCATAATGATGTCTAGTTATGTTCAATTTAGCGACGAATAAGGTAATACAGCCGATAGTAAGTTCATAATAATAATAAGGTAATACAGCAATACAGGTGTTAAAGTACATTAAGCAAGAACCAATAATTTTCGAGTTTAAATGAGCAGAGGCATAAAATCAATTAGTGACCCAATTCAAAAACGCCAGTCAGCTCTTAATATGACATTGATGGCGTATTTTTATACAGTAAATTAAACACAATATTTTTTTTTCGCCAGCAACGGTATATCGGGCCTGGTACAATTAAATTTAATTTTAATGTTCGCTACTGGCGCCCTGAGCCTTTACAAGTCCGTCGGATAAACTTTCGAGATAAAATTCGGTTAACTCTTGGACATACCAACCGAGTCATAAATGTAAGGCTTTTACAGAAACAGTATTTTTTTCGTGATTGAAATATTTTTAGTGATTAAAGAAATTCGTGAATACATTTTTATTGATTAAAAAAATATTTTTTTTTAACTTACTACATGGTATAAAACAAAGTCGCCTTGCTGTCTGTCTGTCCCTATGTATGCTTAGATCTTTAAAAATACGCAACGGATCTTGAAGCGTTTTTCTTTACTAGATAGAGTGATTCAAGAGGAAGGTTTTATGTATAATATAATGCACCCGTGCGAAGCGGGGCGGGTCGCTAGTTAATCATAAAAACAGTATTTTGCTATGATGTTAAGTGATAGCCGCCGCCCATTGAGATTTGCGACACACGAAATAAGTATCACTTCCACTTCACGTAGGTCTTCGTTCGGTCGCTAATTTAATAATGATTTCAGTAATAAATAAATGTTTATTACCTTACTTTTTATGTGATACGGTTGCAAGCGAGGAGGCGCTTTACTTGATATTAAGTGGACACCTGCGTGGCTCGAAGTACCATTCAGTAATGACACATGATGCATACCGTTCTACCAAAATCAAATATTTTTAAGTACACTTCATTATGCACAGTGTAACAGACAGTTGACGGAATTTTCCTTTTTTATCTAAATTGCATTAATTATTTCGAACGGTTCGATAAGCGCCGATCGCTGCATTATGTATTTCGCAGGTGAAATGGTGGCGTTTAAGTTTAAGATAGACTTGTTTTCTTCGGACAAATCGTAACGATATCGTTGACGTTATCGAATGATCGTGAAACGCATCGTCAAAACTTCGAGCTGAGAGCTGATATATTTTGATAAAACAAAAAGAAAATGCAAGCGGAGTATAACGCGGAATATCAGATCGACTGTAACCGAAGATACACACTCGAAATTATTTATATATAAATAGGTTGGAGACGTTTACCGCTGCAAGATTTATTGGCAGTAATTACCTACGTCACCTATGAGCTTTTACACTTTTTGAGCGTGGTGACCGATAAGAAAACAATTTTTTTTCTTTTATTGAATAAATGAGAAGTTAATATCGTTTAAAATATTTTAATATCTTACAATACATGTAGGTTATTTAGGAATTTTTATCATTGAACCTATAGGTTTATGGTAACTGAAAAAAGAAACATAAGTTTGAGACTCGATGTCCTCTAAATATCATATCATCATATGATAATATAATCTATTGTCTATTACCTCTAAATATCCATCCGTGCGAGCTTCGTACAGTCGTACTCACAGAGCACATTTACTCAAAGGGGCAACTCAAATAATATTTGAAAAGCCGTTTGACAGCTAATTAGTTAGCTTCTACGTTGATCAGTGTTTTAGAAACCGGGCGTGAGTGTGCTTCGTGTCTAGATTTGTACATTTGAGAAACCTCTGGCGACATAGGATTAATTTCATAATGCCGGAGGCTTAAAAATAAAACGTTTGATGAACATCATACGTTTATCACTATCTAGAAGCTTTCCACTAGCTTTATCGCTTGAAGTAGGTACCTATAAACTATATTTTTTAGTGTGTCAATTCTTTACGGTGACAATTTTTACAGCGCATCTGAGATAATTTTATTCATCATTCTTTAGAAATATAAATTGTTTATAGTGCAGTTATCTTTGCACTTAAGATTGAACATTAAAATATGTAGAACATTAAAATATTTGTATGCTGGAAAGGATATAACAATAGATGGCGCCAAGCATTGCTTCAAATGCTAAGAAAACAATGTAGAAGAATGCGTTAAGATTTTCGTCGGTGTGGTAATCAGCCGTTTAGCTCAGTGGCTAGAGCGTCAGGCCGCGAATGCCGAAGACGTGGGTTCGATTCCCACAGCGGCGACAATCTTTTCGCACTTTTTCTACATATTTTAACATCATTCTTTAGTAATGACGCTTCCAGATTTTTTTGTATGCAAAAAGTTGCCAAACGAGCAGACGGGTCACCTGTTGTTAAGTGAATACCGCCGCCCATGGACATCTGCTACACCCGACGGCAACCTTTTGAAAATTGGTCTCCGGCTACCTCACTCACCAGACAAAACGCGAAAGTATTTGTCATACTTCCTCCACTTTACGCTGGTCTTCTGTGAGGTCGTTGTACTTACCCGGAGGGGCCTGCCCATTCGTGCAACAGCCGATACTGCTGCGTGGCCCTACTAAAAAACAGCTTTAAGTTTGACCTCGGCAATTACACAAGTGATATTTTTAGTTTAATAAGCAATATCTCCAAATTGACTTTCCTATGTTCGCGCTTATACATTACTTACCAAAAAGTTTCTGTTAGAAATGTTTGGTTATCACAAAATTTGGACATCAACTCCTTCGAATTACTGCACACCTACTATTGCGTATCCGTCGAAAAGTGCACATCGTGAATTAACGCGTGCACAGACGGTTCGCTGAATTGTTCGAAACAGTTCCTCATTCAAATTGCTGTTTCCAGGTAGTTCGCGGAGAGAGACCTCCACCCCCGCTGGCAGCTCGAGTAACGGTAAGATGGACAGGGCCGTTCCGGCGAATGGATTCAATTCGGCCGCCGGTCGCAACTGGAGCAGTGTTGCACGAGGGCCGCCATCGCAAAGATCTTTCGCACCCGTCTTTTTGGCATGAAAAAAAAAAGCTATTTTCGAATAACAGGCTCCTGACATTCGATTGTAAATGTATATCTCCGTCGATGGTAACTTTCGTAATACATAAGCCCCCAATATTGCGTTTGACCGTTGATAATAAATCTTTTACGTTTTGAAATTTTCATAATACATATAATAGGAACGGCAACCCTAAATACGATGAAAGCACGTAGTACCTTAATTACTCGAACAGGGAGCGGGGTTGGGGCAAGTTTTTGTATGTCAACACCTCTGACCGGCTACCCGCCTTCTTGTGGTGGCCTTGCCGATATGCGCGTAGGTGGAACATCGTGAGGGTTTTAGTCGGTGCGACATAATTGCACCGGCGGGTATGGGTAGGCATTTTCCCCACGTTAACTAAAAAAAGTTTTCGTATGTCAATTGTTGTCAAGCGAGCAGGCGGTTTACCTAATTTTAAGTGAATACCGTCGGCCTTTGTCGTCAACAACACCCGAAGACTCTCAGATGCTTTGACAAACGTTTAAAAAAGTCGCCCCCGGTTACCTTATTCACGCGAAAGTTTGATACTTCCATTTCACGCCGGGGAATTGCTTGTAAATACTATCTTGTACATTATTTGTATTATTTTTATACTATTAGTTGACAATGAAAACTACTACATGCAAACTGCTATAAGTATCGTGAACATAGAAACATTTGTAAATGTTCGGACGCAACTGATGACAGAGTAGATACACATAAAATCTTATCCTTTAAACGAGCAATTCTTGTATATATATATATAATCGGAATCTCGGAAACAGATCCAGCGATTTTCATGATATTTATGTATGTGCGTAGATTCGGGGGCGAAAAATCGATCTAGCTAGGTTTCATTTTTAGAAAATGTCCTTTTATCCCTGTTTTCAGGGAATGAAAAATATCATTCGAATATGACGGTAAATTTCGCCGCAAAAAAAAAAATGTTACAATAGCTCGGTCGGTAATCGGGCGGCCCCGAATCAGAAGGCCGTGGTTCGTGTCACGATCATTTACATACTCATTTTTTTACTTTTTTTTCGATTCCAGATCAATGCTTTCTTTATTTTTTATTTTTTGTACATCTAGATGATTTTGTTCTTTTTTCCCTTTTTTTTTTAAGTTCTTTCTTCTGTGAAAAACACCACTTCATATTTTCTTATTATTACGTCGGTAAGATCGAAAAATATTATGCATATTTCATTATTCAGTAATTTGTATCTAAATGTAATATCCAAAATATACGATTTACAAAAAAAAACATCCTCGAAAAGGTCCTCCGGGTACTATTTATTAAAATAGGAAACATACACTTTAAACATTTTTAGAACAGCTGTTCTTTAGGGCAGTTATTAAATTATATTAATAGGATTACACGAAAAGTGTTACTAGCGTTTCTTTTTTAATTATCGAACGTAAATATGGTCGTGTCTTTTTGACACGGACGGACAGTTCAATTTGGTTTATATCCGAGCCACCTATATAGTCGCATGACCAGAAGCGAGCTAACCACACCACAATGCACCTTTCACCCAGTTGCTTTTGCGTGCCAATCTACGTACAATCTACATCTTCAATTAAACTCCGATCTCGACGGAATTACTGTTTAGCATGCGACGTTTTTATAATTGATTTTTCGCACACGACACTTTTTTTTTTATATTTATCACTCGGTCAACTGGCGTTAGTAGTTACACTATCATTTAGTAAACTAGTTTAACTACTAACTAAATTATTGTTTATTTAGTACCCAGTAAGAAGCAATGTAGAAGCAACTGAGGTTAGTTTGCTTCTAAAACTTGCGAAATCATCTTACAGGAGTGTCTTTGTGATTTGATGCATCGCGTTTAACAGGTGTGTTGGCTTTGTTTTAAATAAGAAGACGGTGCTAATCGCATTTGGTGACAGCATAGAGTATCGTTGCAATTATATTCGGGTAAAGATATTTAGTTAATAATATTTTTTTTGCTTTAATGTTCCTGACCTTATGTCTTAAGAAACTGGCCGTGATTACCTCATTAAATGTTATTATCGTTATATGGTTATTACTACTCTCGATTTACTCAATTGTACGAAGAAAAACAATTCTCGCATATTACATTTTCTCTGTGTATGTAATCTTAGTGGTGTTTGAAAATTGTAAAAAAAATACGTTCGTCAGAATGTGGGATTCATTTTTATATTTAATAGTATTTGACAAATTTAAATTTCTGTCTAAACGAAAGAGAAAAACACTTAATAAATGTGAATTTAAGTGTCCGGATATCGGCCACTTAGCTCAGTGGGTTACAGCGTTTAGGCACTTTAGTCGGAAGGGGTTCGAATCCAGTGGCGCTGAAACTTCTTGCCAATTTATCTACAAAATTATCACATTTAAGCTTCATATTGAAAGCAGAGACTTGCATTAAAATTAAATTTATCATAGACTTAATTAGTAAGGACACTAAACAAATGTAAGAATAAGTAAAGATAGTTTACTTTTTCAAAAGTCTATTTTTCATGATAATTTCTTGTATTTACGCGATTACACATTATAAATGAAACTAATTTTACGGATTCATTCATTTTACAGGTTGCCTTTTAATAACGTGAGCTCCGGTTACCGGTCACCAGGCTGTGTATCTCATGAACCGTGATAGTTAGACGATTGAAATTTTCACAGATGTTGTATTTCTGTTGCCGCTATAACAACAAACACTAAAAAACAGAATAAAAAATGTTTAAAAGGGTCTCCCATACTACAGGAGTCCTTCGTGCGCGAGTCCGCAATTGGCCGGTTTTTTTCAGTCTACCAAGGTTTTGCGGCCTGAACTGTTTGTGGGATGGTTATGTGCTTTTTATATATTTTTTATTGCCATAACCCTAAACACGGATTTCAAAAGGCCTTTTGACATTCTCTCCCGGTCAACGTTGTTATTATTTTCTGTGAACAAAATGCCAACTTCCCGACCGATCGGTTCTTATTGGTCCATCACTTGGAATCCATGCCCGTGATGTATATAGTACATTCCGATAAGATCTGAGCAGCCGCTCCGCTCCAACCGACCTGTTATCTCGATCTTGGAAGCTGGTAACTGTGCTTCGCAGATCGTTCCATACAAATTGTATGGCGTGTCTATTTCTTGTTTCGGACGTTGTTAATCTCGTAATACTTCGCTAAGGAGGAGCTATCGTTATTCAATGTTTTTCGTTTATTCAATGACAAAGCGAATGCAATTGTTTTTGGCGATATTGGACTGATGTAAGTTGTTCAGATGCAATTCATTATGATAATGGTTTGCTTTTTAAATGTTGTATTAATACGTTGCTATTTTAGGCGTGTGAGTTTTATTTTATGAAATATTGCTCGGTAACATAATATTGAGTGAGAATATTAAATTATTTCTCATAGTATTAAATTATATCTTTATAATATGTTATCCAAGCACATGGCTTTTTTTACAGTTTTTCTATTTTGGAAAACGTCCAGATGTCAAAAAAACTAACACCGAATATTTATTTCTGTTATGTGATAAGTAGAAGATAGGTACTTATCACATTATCTTCTACATAGACAGTGTTAATTATGCTCATAATATTCTTTCTTCGCAGTAAATTATATTGACAATGTGCATAACATTGGTGGTTGAAGAGGCTGCTGTGAATATAACTTTAAGACAGTTGCAACTTAGCAGAACATTGATATTAAACAATATGACAAACAGTATACGCACAAATGGTTTGGGCTGTCAACTGATATGAGACCGTGCTGTGGGTTCGATACTCCTCAATAGGTAATATTTCGTAGTTTTATACAAAACACCTATGTCTTCTACGTAACTGATGTGGCCTTCGCCTCCACTGTCATTCAGGAGAGATAATTTAAAGGAGCTTAAAATTTACGTTCAAAAGCTCGGTGCTTAACACCTCTTTAGGGTTCCGTTGTCAGAAGGTAAAATGGGACTATATAACTAAGACTCCGCTGTCTGTCTATCTGTCCGATTGTCACAACGCCGTATCTCATGAACCGTAATAGTTGGGTAGTTGAAATTTTCACAGATGGTGTATTTCTGCTGCCGCGATAACAACAAACACTAAAAACAGAATAAAAATATTTAAGTGGGGCTCCCATACAAAAGAATAATTTTTTGCCGTTTTTGTAGATAATGGTACGGAACCGTTCACGCGCGAGTCCAACTCGCACTTGGCCGATAAAAGCAACCCGCTAAGAACGCATTGCACGATGTAGACACAGCGAAGAGGTCGGTTTCGCAGAAGATATAATAATTTGGCGTACACTCTGGCGAGATAAGGAGACATGCGACCTCTAGGGCGACTCCACTCCCGTCCGGTCCTTCCTTTTATGAGCACCAACTCTTTCCATCCTTTTTGTACGCGTCAAACAGCCGCGCGGCGTCGGTTTATCTTGGCCGTGTTATACGCATACATTAGAACCTTTTATATTTGTTCAATGATGTTTTCGCTTTAAAACACGAGGCTATCTAAAGCTTCAGCCGTCAAAAGGATTATTTATTCTAAATATTTCGCCGCAATCGTACGTGAAATGGATGTGAAAGGAGAATTGTAAACAAACTCACTTTGCATATGTCAAATATTCATTCGTGGTATCGAATATTCATTCAAGATCTTCAATCATGAAAAGAGTTTTTGAGTCAAATACTTTTTAATCGATGCGTCCATATTTGCGTTAGGTCTGTCTGATTCAACGTACGAAAAAAATTTTTACGGCTTTCTCGCGTTTGTTTATTTGGTTTTAATTTCCGACGTTTCGAACCCTTTATAACGTTCATGGAATGGACAGACATCGTAAACGCAATAAATTCGTGAAAAAATAATAATTTAGAAATCTGTATTCGCGTAAATACAAAAAACATGTGACTTCAACGAGTATTTTTTGGATTAATTAAAAAAACAACATTTTTGTGTATATGACGCTACGAAGAGCTTAGAAAGTACTGCTATAAAGGGTTGGATATTTATCCCATGGACAACAAAACA